ACATAGTGTAGTCATAGAATTTCAACTAGAATAGGGTACGTTAATCGTTTGCTTGGGACCAATAGGCTACTAAAGTGGTGAGCCAATTTAAAATCGTTAGTTTCGTATTGATTGTTGATGGTACTGCCTCATGACAGTATTCTAACGGCTGTGGTTTTCTTTTTCCTAAGACAACCTTGATAGTGAGCTATAAGTGACAGCCCACAGTGAGGCTGTCATCCGACATGTAACGTTGCCGTTTTGTGCAGTACACGACAGCTCGTTCTTATTCATGTATTAAGTTCGTTCGGCTATGACAGCCTCGGATGGTCATTCGTAACGTTCTTCGTACATACAACAAGCAGTCCGTCAAACTGCCGACTGGTTGCTGCTGTCTTTGAAATTTTGTTCGTATGTCGTGAGACTGCTACTACACTATCAGCAACCGGTGGAAACTAACGATTTCAAATTGGCTCACTACTTGACTAGCCTATTGTTCCCAAGCAAATCGATTAACGTACCCCATTCTTGTTGAAATTCTAGAACTACACTATATATGTTTTGATTCGCTATGAAAGTTTGACAGATTAAATGAGGGGTACGTGGATTTTCCTATGTTTCGAGGAGTACATCGATTAGCGTGGGACCGAAGATGGTACCAGAGCTGAGCAAAAAAGTTGAGCACGTTTCTTCGGGACCTCCTGGTCTTAGAGTTACCTCTATGCTACCAGTGTGACGCCGAAGCTCGCTCGGTTGCTATCACGTTCGTGCTGCCCATTGCAAAATTATCATCCGATATATTTTTTAAAAACGCGCGGTCTTGAGCAAGTCAGACATTCCGACATTCCGACATTCCGGCGAAAAATATAAGCCTTCCCGACACAACCTGACTTCTACCAAATCTCAACCCGATGTTGGCCCGACAAGTATCCGACATAAACACAGAATTGACCCGACATCGACCCAACATTTGGCCGACGTCAATCATAAATTGACCTTACATTGATCCGACATCGAACCGACATGTCTGTTCGGGATCATTTTTCTGTGTTGATTCCATACTCCACTGCCGTTTATCAATTGTATATAATGTCTCGTGACAGCCACTTGGGTAAGTTGAGGGATGTCGTCGGTATGTGAAGGCTGTCATGACGACAGAAACATTGAAAACCAGGTCACAAAGAAATGTATAAATACAGCCCATTCGGTTCACTTTGGAACGTAGCATGATTTTAGCATTTTTTTTTTTAATGAAAGCAACTTAACTTGAACTTCTGCTGTTAACGTCTAGTTTAAAATTTAATTTAAGTTCATTTGTTGTTGAACTTATGATTATTATTTATTCTTTTTGTTTAACACATTTTAAGTCATTCGTGACTTGCCCGGGGTGAGATTTGACTCTTTCAGTCTTTCAGCGTGAGAAGCATGGATGCTAACCATTTACCAGGCCCGTATTCAGTTAAACATTATGAATGCAAACTGAGTAATCAAATTGATTAGTTGTCCGTTTGCTTCAACAGTCTTAGAGTTACCCTAATAAACAAATGCCATAAACGAACTGTATCCCGGATGGGTAAACTATCCCACAAATAGTTTGGATGATACCCCGAATACGTCGTTAAGCTCTCTTTTATAGTTATTTTTATTAGGGTACCTCTATGGTATAGATGCGACTGTTCTAATACAGCTTTCATTCGTTCGTGCGTGCGCTGTTGCCAATATACTTCGAATTCAGATCTGAACGTACGGTAGCAAGCGGTAGTAATGGGGTGTTTACACTAGCGCTAATGAGCTAACTGCTAGCAAAAATGTAAACAGGGCATCAGCGTCTACCAGCATGAGATTTCAGGAGCAACTGAAATCCGAACTAGTTGGCGAGTACACTAGCGCGAGTAAATCCGCACAGATGTAAACACCCCTTAAAGCACACAAAGCAACAGCATATGATGTAAACACCCCTCGAAATATAGGAAAATCCACGAGCCCCTCATTTTATCTGTCAAACTTTCATAGCGAATCAAAACAAACATAGTGTAGTACTAGAATTTCGACTGGAATGGAGTACGTTAATCGGTTTGCTTGGGACCAATAGGCTAGTCAAGTAGTGAGCCAATTAAAAATCGTTTGTTTCCACCGGTTGGCAACAGTCAATTCAGGTATAAACCAACTGTCGCGAGAAGGCTGTACTATTTGGAAGCCTTCTTCCGACTGACTTGTCCCTGTCCCATCGGCAGTATTGCAAAATATCAATATCAATACCTACATAATACTGAATATCTATAGCTTCAATATCAATGTCAGTGCGCAAATGACATCGACATCGTAAAGGGACCGCTGATATTCAAAGTTCTGCCGCATTTGTTTCTTATATACGCCAACTAATCCATAACCGATCTTTACAAAACTCATCATTTATATGTATATATCATAAACAATGCAACGGTTGTACAGAAATCCCAACTAACAATTTTCACGACGTAAACGCTTTGGTCATTTCATTTATACAAGCTCAAAGCATTCAAATGTTATACGATATGAGACAACCTTTACTCAACCTTTATACAAGCAAATCTTAGTCAGCTTATTATGGCTGTTGGGACGGTTGTGACAAGCTCTTTTTGCCTATATCCATTTACGTTTCTAAACAGCTGTTATCCTGCTGTTTAGTTGTGTGTGAACTTCAAAGGCGCTTATTCAACTTTTTCCCGGTTATCCAATAATCACTACACAGCTACCTCTTGAAGGCGGGTTAAATATTGGCTTTTTTGTTGGAGGAATGTATTAATTTGATTTTGCTGCGAGAATCAATTAATCGAAATTAGTTAAACACACCTCCAAATTATTACCCTGCATCGGTACCTAGACTCGAACTCGAGACGACCGCATTATTGGCAAACCTCGACACTACCAAATTAGCTACACCAACACTTTGAACTGACGTAAACAATTCTACATGACGTTCTACAACAAGATGTCTGAGTAGAGGCTTTATAATAATACACATGAATCACATTTCTCGACTAGTTAATTCAGCATTGTAAAGGAATGGAGTAAAAGCTGTTAAACTACACACGTCTAAAAATAAACCTAGTTGACTGTAAAAATGCTTCCAAAGTAGCACTAAAACAGTTTATTAACTGAGTATAAGTTGTTTAGTTGTTGAAAAAGCACTTTTGGTGTTTATGTTATTCAGCAAGAGTGGTTAGTGGTGTAGAAGCCATCAAATGAGTAATATATTCACTTTACTAGCTTTGTTTTGCAGCTACAAGTTGAAAGTTGATTAATATTTGCATAGAAGTGACATTAGCGTTTATTGACTGCTGTTATTATGTGCGACTGACAAATTGAATAATGGTTGTGAAAGAGTTGAGTAAACACTTGCCACAACTATTTTGCTAGCCACTGCTTATAGCTGTATCTGTAGCTTTTTTCAGCTACTTTACAGCACAACGCTCGAAAAGATGGCTTATGAAGCTGAAAATGTTAGATGGGATGTTGATTTATTGAGATAAAAGTAAGATGTTCCACTTTTCTCCGATATCCATATGGATAATAATGTCAAAATTGTAACGCCTAATATCATGCTTACTACGAATATCAGTAGTGTCGAAAGTGAAATTCAGTATTAGGACAATATCTTACGTCAACTGACATTGTTGACAGCAAGCAGCACTGCCCATCGGCGTTCGGGCGATCAGGATAACGAAGCCGTTCAGCATTTGACTACCTCCAGCTTGCAAGGGTTTACCCATTTGAGTGCAGCTGGTCAGTTAGGAGGATTGAAGTACACGTCAACTTCAGCAGATACAACAATTTGCGATCGTTGATAACGGCCAGAAGATTTATCAACCGTGAAATAATTTTCTGAAGAGGTTGGGATCAGTGCTGATAAAAATCTTTTCATCTACACGCTATTTCAAAACTACTCAAATTTGGGTAGAGTCCACCCAGATCGGTCAAACTGAACCTACCCAGAAATGGGTAAACTATGTTGGGAGTGACAAGTTGACAAATGAACAAAGTCGATCGGATTCATTTCGATGTTGTCCATTGGTCAACTTGTCACTCCCAACATAGTTTAACCATTTTTGAGTAGGTTCAGTTTTGACCGATCTGGGTGGATTCTACCCATCGGTTAGTTTTTGTTTAATTCTATAATTCTGATTATACTCACCGTCATACTTATGACAAATAAAACATTTCATAATTTCTAATAGGGCCCAAGATTCTATAATAGGGTATTAAGTTGTTTGCCCAAAATGACACGTGGCCTTTGATAATCGTTGCCACAAAAGATGTAGTCACAATCATCAAAAAGTCAACAATAAATAGGTTTGAGCTCAACGCATGTATCTCAATCGATATTTTTAAACATTTTCAAAACTGTGGCCGTATGTGGCCAAATACATCTGTTGGTCCATGGCATGATGTCTATTTACTTCTGGATGAAAAATCATAATTTTTGAGCCGTCGGACGATACCAGTATATAAGGTTGTGGAAGAAGTGTATTTTTGTGCCCTATAGGAACCAGTGCCAGGTAGCATAAATGGCCAAATTGGAAAAATCAATTCTAGGAACCTTCATCTTTCATTTGAAGCCGATAGATCCAGAATGGGTTCAAAAATTGATTGTTGGGAGCGAGTTGCAGTTTGGGTCTTTTTTGACCCACTAATGCACAATATGTATATTTTTCCTAATGCATTAGGAAGGTTAATGAAACTAAATTCACATAAAAATTATCAGAGCACGCTTAAAAAAAATAACTGGAACATCCCCAGCTCGCTCCACCGTGTGCGACTGAGCTGGTCAGTGCGAAAAGTGAACAAACAAATAGCACCAAAAGGGAGACTCGAAAAAATGTTGTGATCTCGAATTTTAGGCTGTCGACCGCGCGCTTCCCAGTGGATGCTGCTACGCCATCGGCGCCTTGAGTTTGCGAATACATAAATGATTCGAGTGTAGATTTCCTTCTTCAACTTTCCTGTAACCCCTGGTGCCTCCTGCATATAGGTTGTCAGTCGTACCAGACGATTCCAAAACAGTTTAGCCACTAGTTTGTGAATGGTCAAAGCATGGACTAGAGAAAAACGAAGATTGAAAAGTGAAACGTGATGGCAACGACGAACCGTAGTCGCAAAAATATTCTCACACTAAACGGTGTCAGCGGCTTCAATGGGGTGCATTTAAACAATCAGCACCATCATCAACATAATCTACTCCACCAGCCGCAGTTGGCTCAACCGCAACATCCGCTGCAGCAGCAACAGGATGCCAGCGCTGCCGGTGTCGTCGAAGGACTCCCGAAGCCATTTGTGTCCGCCATGCGCACGTTGTTCGATATTATGGACGACGACAAAACTGGTTTGGTGAAGCTGGCCGACATCGAAGATCGTTGGCAGGACGATGGCTCCAAGGGTCTGCCGCGAGGTGTAATTGATAGTTTGCGCAAAGTTACGCCCCCTAATGGGTTGCTCTCGTTCGAGCGTTTCTGCAGTGGGCTCAAGATTTGCCTGGTACGAAATCAAACCGAAGCGAGTAGAACGAGTCGATTCTCCAAAGAGTCAGAAAAACTACCCCTCTCACCGACCAAACTCTCCGTTCGGCCACCGTCCGCACCGTTGCTCGATCTGGATAACATATCCAAACCCTCGTGGACCAGCACTAGTGCCAACACAGCAACGGTCAGGCCGAACAATGCCATGCCAGCGCAGAAGACACTCAGTATGCCGCAGCTCAATCCAGACAGTGACCTAGATCTGGAATCACCCCCAATTATCCTTCCGGGAGCTTTCGGCCCTCCCAAGCCCCCTCGAGTGTCGCTGAACCTTGAACGAATTCAGCCAGTGCAAGCCAGCTCGAACATCGACAAAGCGGAAATTCGCAACGCTCTTCAAAACTGGCAAATGTCGCTTCTCATGAATGAAACTGACAAACCGGACAAAACGCATCTCCGGTTGGCCCGCGGGTCAGCCGACGGTCAGATTGACCTCTCCAACACGAGTTCATCGCCCTCGTTGGGCATACACACGACCGGTCTGTACCAGAAGAAGAACGGTGGTGGTGGTGGGAGCAGCAGCCGACGACGAGAGCCCCGAAGGCATACGCTGCAGAATGGCGTCGATTACAATATGCTCAAGCGGCTGAAGCAGATCGAACAGGAGAAAGACATCCTGCTGCAGGGGCTGACGGCGGTGGAGAAGGCTCGCGATTGGTACCTGAAACAGCTGTCCATCGTGCAGGATAAGATCAAGTATCTGGGCCGGTCCGGAGCGCATATGGTGAGTGCAATATGTATTTGGGTATGGGTGGGTCAGAAGTGATAAGTATAATTGAGTTTTAGGCGGTGCAATTTATAGTGCCCAACACAAAAATACAGATATTGATAAAACTGTTGCTGCATAAGGGTTGATGCATATATTATGTCACGCTCTAAGGGGGGAGGGGGGCCTAAGATTTTGTGACAAGCAATGCATTAGGTATAGGAAAAACGTCACGATAGGGGAGGGGGTAATTTTTTTCTCGATTTAGCGTGAAATAATTAATGCATGGGCCATTAATGGATTGGCGGTATATGAGCAAATCGGGCGACCATTTGTTTTGCCTGTCTTGGTTCGCTCCAAAATTATCAAATAGCCCGTTTCTGGGGTTTTCAGAGACTAACCAGTAGACTGATGTAAAATTTGAAATTTTCGCTCCACAGTGCTCAAACGGTTTCAAATCGGGTCCTCCGGAAGTTTAAACTCATTTGATAAGAAACTGACTTGGCACAAACCATTTGAAGTTTATATGGAAATTACTATGGGAAAACCAAACTTTTTGTTCATTATCTTCTAGCTTTTTTCCATATTGTACTGTTAACAAGTTCTATTGCTATTCTTATGGGAAATTTTCACAGCTACAACTTTGCAGAAGATCATTTTCAGCTCAGCGTCAAACTAAATATTTATTAATTGATTAAGAGATTGATAATCTTATGGCATGATTAAGCAACTGTATTGTGGGCAACACTGTATTCTGCAGTGTGACATAGTGCCATGATTTTTGTCCTCTATTCTACGCGCCATAAACACCAATGTTGCCTGCTGAACAGTTGATGGAGCATAATCATAAGACATCAGTGACTTGAATTATTAATAATTTTTATTTACATTTGATCAAAATGTGGTCTTGAACAAAATTGTAGCTGAGAAAATTTTCAACAAGCTCAGCTATCATTTTCTAAAGTAGAGTGAACTGGTGAATTTTGAGATAGATATGAACCGAAATTATGGTTTCGCTATAGTAATTTCCATATAAACTTCAAATGGTTTATGCCAAGTAAGGTTCTTACTAAAGGAGTTCAAATTTTGAGACGATAATCAGGACCCAGTTTGGAACCGTTTCAAATTTTGCATCAGTACCGTCATCAAAAGTCTCTCTAATAAAGAAATCTAATTTAATCTAATCCTATCGAATAGATAGCTTGTCATAAGAAATAGTCGTTTACTCCCTTAAGTTTTACAGAATTTCCTCAACTTCTAGATCTCTGAGAAACTGCAACGAAGTTCCCTAAGCTGAAGCAAGGATCCCAGAAGTTCTAAGAAGTTTATTGAACTATTTTTAGCTCTTTTACAAAATTCCCTGAACTTTTTCAAAATTCCTTCTACAATGTTTGCTGCACTTCTACGTTTCTCGTAATGTTTCACGAACGAAATTTCTTGAATTTGTACGTAATTTTCACAACTATAAGAAGGCTTCAAAAAAGTGCCCTGAAATTAAAAGACTTTAAAAAATCGTTATTTAAGGTTCAATTTTATTAATCGCTGTTAAATAGTAACATCAAACTTGGCAAGCTTGACAAAATACCGGCGAATCATAAAAAACACCATGCCTGGATAATTCTGGAGGGGGTCTGGAACCTTTGGCATCCCCATTAGCTACGCCAATGCGTGTAACCATCGTTTATCCACATAGAAGTGTGTTTAACTTTTGTTTGCCTGTGGAAAATTTTAAAAACGTGTTTTTACTACTATTTATAACACAGTACTATTTAAATAAAACAACTGGTTTATGTTATCTGCAATTTACTCTAATAATCCAAGAAACATATTCTAGTCTTAATTTTCTGTGAATTCAAGATGTTTGCATGAATAAACATTTATGAATTTTGGCCCAATGTCACCCCGTCTTACGGTACATACAGGAACAGGAGTAGAGTAACCCTTTCTGATCATTTTAAGCGCCTTTACCAGTTACAAGAAGTCTCAAATTGTGCTCCTTTTGTATGTTCAACATCAAGGAACAAAGTATGAAATGTTTGCCATATTTCGTACAGCACATTTACGAGAGTTCACTTTCTAAAACTAACAACAAACCATCGGAAGATGCACATTTAGTTTTTTCTACCGAGCCAAAGTTTCACTGAGATCTCAGCAAACATTTCATTTGTTTGCTGAGATTCAGCTAAGTATTATCCGAGACTCAGCAATTAAATGTCACTTTTTTTATGCTGAGATCTCAGTGAAACTTTTTTTGCCGAGATTCGCACAGCCGAGCTCGGTGTGTGTAGAAAATAACTTTCTGGCAAAAGTGTAGTGAAATTATTTACATTACAGTCAACACCATACTCAGCAGGTGGCTAAGAAGAATTCCTCAGAGGCTTTTTTTTTGTATTTATTTAAGACATTTTACATCCATAGATGCATTCATGTCTGTTTCAATTTAGTGTAATGGTGTGTGGGTGTGAGTGTTAGTGTTTATGGTTAATTGCACTTAGCTTTGTTTCGTCTCCTTCTGGTTCATCGTTGATCATAACATTGCATCTCTTTTACTTCTTCTTCTCAATGAATTTCACTTTTACTTCTTCTACCTTTTCTTCATCTTCTTTCTGCATCATCTTCGTTTTTATACGTAGCCTTCGTCCGTTTCTTGTTATGTTGTTGACGGGTCTCCTTCATCTTGCTGAATTGGTTGCGTCATCTTCTTATATCTTCTTCACTTCTGATCATTTGTTGCTTAATTGTATTCTTTTTCATTCACTTTTAATCTATCTTCTTCTTTCTTCTCACCATACTTCAAATTATTTTCTTTACTTCTTCATCATCTTCTTGCTTCATCCTTCTTTAATTCCATTGCTTTGATTTCCACTTCTACGTCTTCACGATTTCTCCAGATTTCCATCGGTGTCGTCTTCTTCATTGTGCTATTTTCCGCTTTATATTCTCGATCTTCTTCATCTTTTTCCACTTAATTTTGCGTTCCACCTTTACTTCATCATAATTTTTCTTTTGATCTTCTTCTTATTCTTCTTCTTCTTTTTCTTCCATCCGCTATCCGCTTTGTATTCTTGATGACCTTCACTTTCTTTACTTGATCTTCATCCAGTTACATGTTTGCCTTCATCATATTCTTCCTTCCTTCCTTGCTCAGTTAACTGTTTCACCTTCTTGCCTCTACACCGGGTTTCGGCTGCTCCATCTTCTTCACATGTTTCCTTCCTTGCTTGCTCCGTTATCTGCTTAACCTTCATTGCCATTACACCGGGTTTCGGCTGTTCCTTCTTCTTTTTTCTGTATCCTTCAATTTTTTCGGTACAGTCCAGTTTGCCGTAGAAAATTCAGCAAATTGGTGGTTTGCTCCTCAGAGCTTCCTAACACATCTCGCAAGCTTGTTATGTCTCTTGTCGTTACCTTTCATAGTTTTTGCACTGCAAAATCACGTGTCGGACGTCTAAAACCGTTCCACAACAACTGAGCGCCCCTTCTTCAAGAAGTACGTATGGGTTAGCCGCGTGTGACCAATTCTTAGTCGTGTTAGCACACGCTGGTCGAAAGTGCTTCCCCGTTCCGTCCACTTGTGCGTGTCGTCTTTGACTTCTCTTAGTTTGGAGTCTCTGGTCGCGAACCATTGGTCGTTCCATCGTTGGCGAATGTTTTGCATCACCATTCTTAGCGCATCATCGCCTGGGATTGGTACATCAATGGGAGGTTGTGTTCTCGCCATGTTTGCCAACCGATCAGCTTCGTTGTTCCAGCAGAAACGGACGAATTTGTTTCGTGCTATTTGCTCCACTTCCTGAATCCACGGGTGCTTAGATATTCATCATATTGATCATCATCATCATCATCATCATCATCATCATCATCATCATCATCATCATCATCATCATCATCATCATCATCATCATCATCATCATCATCATCATCATCATCATCATCATCATCATCATCATCATCATCATCATCATCATCATCATCATCATCATCATCATCATCATCATCATCATCATCATCATCATCATCATCATCATCATCATCATCATCATCATCATCATCATCAAGCCAACTAATATAAAGCAAAGATGAATGCATTAATCATTCTTACAGGACCTTGAATGTGCTATAGCTATAGGTATTCAGTTTCAAGCAAGCTTTTATTGATTATTCAGCTGATGATATGATGTATTCTAGGATAGCTCATATGGCAAGGCAAGTGGCTGGTTATCGGAAGGTACACACTGAGGCAAAAAGGCCTAAGAATTTCATAAGCCTCGACTTTTTTATATTTAATGCGTTTATTTTTCCAGGCTCATTTGCTGTAGCTTTGCGGAGCCAATATTCATTGATTAAAACTAACGTTAGTAAAGTAGGGGCCGATTACTCGCGGCTATCTCGAAGTTAGGGGTAACAAAATGGAAACAGATGGATGCCAGGGTAGGGATTGTGAACACAAGGTTTGGAGAGCAATGTGCTCTTGGTCTTGAACTAAGCTTCTCTGATGAAAAAGACAAACATGGGGGTACACCGATGGGCAGCTAACAACTTGGGAGAACACAAGATAACACTAACTACTAAATCCTCAGATCTATCCGTTTTAAAAACACATAAATTAAATTCAAATAGTCGAGATCTCGGCTCGCCAAGACATCTCTAACGGGTATCGCGGGTTGTTTCCTCGGGTCCTGAGGGATGTGGATAACTCAGATCTGGCAACACTGGCAAACAACATGCTCGATATCGTGATAACCACTGCCACACGCACATAAATTGCTGCCTGAGAGCCCAATTCGATAGAAGTGCGAGTCTAACGAGCAGTGATTGGCCATAAGCCTTGATATAACGCGTATAAAGTCACGGCTCATGTCCAACCCTTTGAACCATGGTTTGTTCGACACCTGTGGGAGAATAGAATGTAACCATCTTCCCAATTCACCATCATTCAATTTTTGTTGCCAACTGATGAGGACTTGCTGACGAGCAATGGAGAAAAATTCGTTGAAGGCGATTTGCCGCTCGAAAATATCGCCTTCTAAAGGGTGATACGGTCAAAATTTGGTCAAGGGAAAACGCGTGTAAATCGGTGAAATCGTTTATTTAAAAAATCAAATTAAATTTCTTTTTCAAGTTCAATTAGTATAAAATTCAGGAAAAATATTCAGTTAGGCTTCCGCTTTTCCAAATCCGAATTGCCGGGCCTTACGCTTGACCCCTGCCATCAGATTTTGTACAGCCACCTTGTCCACCTTCTTCGCCGCAGAAAGCCAGCTTGCCTTGAACTGCTGCTCGCCCTTAGCAGTTTTTTGGTCTTCTTTAGGTTCCGCTTGACAATAGCCCAGTATTTCTCAATTGGGCGGAGCTCTGGCGTGTTGGGAGGGTTCTTGTCCTTGGGAACCACCTGCACGTTGTTGGTGGCGTACCACTCCATGGCCTTTTTACCGTAATGGCAAGATGCCAAATCCGGCCAAAACAGTACGGAACAACCGTGTTTCTTCAGGAAAGGCAGCAGACGTTTATTCAAACACTCTTTCACGTAAATTTCTTGGTTGACAGTCCCGGAAGCTATGAAAATGCTGCTTTTCAAGCCACAGGTACAGATGGCTTGCCAAACCAGATATTTCTTTGCGAACTTTGACAGTTTCATGTGCTTGAAAACATCTGCTACCTTTCCCCTTCCTTTTGCCGTATAAAACTCCTGTCCCGGAAGCTGCTTGTAGTCGGCTTTGACGTAGGTTTCGTCGTCCATTACCACGCAGTCAAACTTCGTCAGCATCGTCGTGTACAGCCTCCGGGATCGCGCTTTGGCCGTCGTATTTTGTTTATCATCGCGATTTGGAGTCACTACCTTCTTGTAAGTCGATAGTCCGGCTCGTTTTTTGGCTCGATGCACGGTTGTAGACGATACACCCAGCTTATTTGCGGCATCTCGGAGAGAGAGGTTAGGGTTTCGCTTGAAACTACCGGCAACTCTCTTTGTCGTCTCAGCGGCTTCCGGTTTTCGATTTCCCCCCGATCCAGACTTCCTGGCTGTCGACAAACGTTCCCCAAACACTTTAATTACATTTGTAACGGTTGATTTGGCAACTTTTAGCGATTTTGCCAACTTTGCGTGCGAGTAGCTCGGATTTTCGCGATGCGCGAGCAAAATTTTGATACGCTGCTCTTCTTGCTTGGACGGCATTTTGACAACTGAAGAGTGAATTCCAAAATCAAAATAAGAGCAACATTCTACACACACACACCTTCAAAATGAGGGGTGTTCAGGTTTTTTAAATGTAAAATTGAAAGAAATACGTCAAGTTGATATTGACCAAATTTTGACCGTATCACCCGCCTTAGCCAACGAGTCCACTTTCTCATCACCCGGAATTGAGCAATGAGATGGAACCCAAACTAAGGTGATAGTATAGGAGCAGCCAGGTGATAGTATAGTAGAAGCATAGAGGTAACTCTAAGACCACTGGGTCCCGAAGAAAATCATTATTATTTTTGGCTCACTCAGTACCAGAACAACGGTCCCAAGCAGTCCCAAGCTATTTCACTCACCCCTGCATGTTCTGCATGAATCCACACACCCCTGATGTTATCTGTCAAACTTTCATAGCGAATCAAAACAAACATAGTGTAGTAATAGAATTTCAACTAGAATAGGGTACGTTAATCGTTTGCTTGGAACCAATAGGCTACTAAAGTGGTGAGCCAATTTAAAATCGTTAGTTTCGTATTGATTGTTGGTAGAAGTCAGTTTAGATCATATTTCAGGCAGGAAATACGAGGAGTGCTTCATAGGCCTCATTAATAGTCTCGACTTATGAACAACATGTATGAATTTCATAAGCGGGACTTATGAATTCGGGCAACATGAGGTAGCTCTTATACGCCTTTAATCATTTTATTTTCCCAAGCGTTGAAAGACGAGTGGTCATCACACGGGCCTCCCTAGCCTCAACGTCCATTTTCCGGTTCCAGTCTGCTCCGATTTATTATTTTTGTCAACATTATTTTTCATAAGGCAAATCAATGAAATTCACAATCATTTCTTATGACTAAAATTCATAAGTGTTTCTTATGGAATTCTTACGTTCTTTTTCCTGCGTGCATGGTTCGAATCCCATGCAACGACATGTATCCCAAGTAATAAAATATATGCATGGAATTATGTTGAATAAACTTCTTTATAATCAAGATCAGTCATACAAAGGTGATGCAAACTGTTATAGAACTTGTGTGTTGCTTGGGATGAATGTAATAAATTTTCCAATATCTGTGTGGTGCGTGTCTAGTAAGAAAATGAAAACAATATCTAAAGAAATAACCAACCTCGTTCTTATTTTCCCGCAGTTGAATAATCGTTAATAATTGTTTAATAGCGTATTAAACGTTACTTCACCTGAGAATCTAAGCGTATGCAGCATCGCTATTTAAAGAAACAGTGATGTCTAATAATCGCTGAATAATCAAAACTTTGATCGAAGAGCTTAGAACTTATGTAAGTCGAATAAAAGCTTTTTAAAACACCTTATAGAACACCAAGAAGTTCAATGTTGTGGTTGATAAAACTTGAACAGAAGTTATTATTAAAAATAGTACAAGTATTATTAAGCATGTAGTTGAATAAAATGGTTAAGAAGCCGTTTATTCGATAAGCGATTGTTTGTTGGGCTTTTCTTTCTTGGCATTGACCCGGGAATGTAAAATGGAATTTTGCCTGGATGATGGATCATTCTCATGATCCGTGAGCATTTCAAATTGATAATTCAAATAAATTTCATCAGAAGGGGGATCAAGAGTTTGCCTTTTTCTTTTGCGAAGGAATTTTCCAATTCGATATTCAAGCAGGATTACCTCCGGTAGGGCTCAAACAAGGATCGAAGAGGAATAAGAATCGAACAAAGTAGACAATTTTCTGGTAATATTGAGCACTGAGAAGTGCAGTTTAAATTTGTTGTAGCAGTAACACTTCTTTCAGCAAAAAGCAAATAGATCCGCACGGCAAGAGAGCACGATGCGGACCGAGTTCAGTCTACTTTATATTAGGTTACTAAATATGGTTCCCTTCCATTTCCAGGAAACCTGGACCGATACCCATCAGGAGCGCTTGGATCTGCAACGGGCTCGTGTTCTGGAGGTGAATCGTCACCTTATGACGCTGGCCGAGAGCTGGGAACGTGGAGGGTTCCCTATGCACATGAACCTAGCTCTTCGTCCACCGGGTACTATGTCCTTCCATCGTCCACCGCAACACCAACAACAACAACAACAACAACAGCAGCAGCAACAGCGTGCACAAGCTCAAACCCAACCTTCCGCAAATCCACCCGGAAGTGGTCAACAGACAGAAATGGTCAACCGACTGAAGCAGCAGAACGTACAACTTTCCGAGGAGGTTAACCAGAAGAACGAAAAGCTGTCACTGCTGGAACGGGAAAAATCTTCCCTGATACGAGAGCTGCTGCAGCTGCAGCGAGCCAACCGAGCCAGCAGTATGACTTCCAACACCGAGGAAATGGTGTTTTAAGGTGTCATGTGTTAAGGTAGATAGGGAAATTGGGCCATGTTTCGATGGAGATTGCCATCACAGATTTCGTGCTTTTCCGAGTTACAATCGCGCTAGTCAGTTTAGCAGATTCACAAATAAAACCCGAAAGTATCTTAATGTGTAATCATAGGTGGAGTTAGGCGGAAGTATTTCATTGTGATTTAAGGTGTTATTTTGTCGAAATTTTTTTAACCGATTAAAAATTGTTTTGAAAATAAAGATTATTTTTGTATGACATTGTTCAGAGTGGTTAGGGATGATAATATCACAAACTGGATTGTTAACACAATGATTTTGAAACACATACACACACATATTTATTGCATATCAAAAATAAAATAAACCATCAAAATTTTAATTGATTTAATATGGCCAGTCATCTATTTACTCTTTGCTACTTCCTTCTGAATCAGATCCCAGTTGACTCCATTGTGGGGCAATTTGCTCTCCAAAAATGGCGAAAGCCACACAAGATGCCACCGTTCGCCCAGTACCATTATCAGATTGTTCAACCGGCCGTGGTCGTATTCGTGGGAGTTCCTCTCATGTACCACGCTTCCACTGAGAATCAAACGACCGTGGTACACTAGGAGCACCCCCGTGAACAACATTCCAATCATGTTGATTAGATAAATGACTAGATAATACTGCGTCGTTGAGATATCGATTAAGAGCATCGCCAGTGGAAAAACGATCTTCACCAGCGACGTCCAATTGCGAAACTCTTCACCGTGAACGAACCAGATGAAGTAGTTGTTAAGTATACTTGCATAAAACGTCGCTATAAATAGATGAAGTACAAACATGATGAAATAGCGGTGATTTCGATGGCCAATGCAGCATCCGGTAAACACGCAATGGTGATCTCGCTTAAGAACACAGGTCTCGCAGATGTTGCAGTGCCACGATCGGGGTGGTGCCACTGCTTCGCAAGTTGCACACAAATGCCACGAACCCGATCCCAGCCCGGAGGAAACCGCTACATTCGTTGGCACACTGATGATTTCCGTACCACAGCTGGTATCGCACATGATCGTTGCCAGCATATTGGCACTGATGTTGTACAGCAGAAACAGCGCTGGGACAAAGTGAATCCAGTTTAACACAGAATCCACCCCGTGAACACCCGGCATCACCACGTACACCTCGAACCAAAAAGTGACTGGGATGATGCCAGCCATGAATATCGTCGCCACTGCATCCTGCACGCAACGGGGCAGAAAGCGTTTTCGAATCTGCATCCTATTTGGGTATTACAATAACAGTTTACATTCATTTATTAAATTTAAGATTAAATCGACTGATATGACATACCTTCCCAGATTGCTGCTGTTCACATGACTACAAAACAAGACAACAGATACGCAGGGAAAGCATAAATGTGACATTATGCTTATGCTGTGTATCGTCTGGTGACACCTACCTGTGAGAGAATGCAAACTGAATCGAATGTCGAGCTAATGTCGACCATCGGTAGACCGATTTTTGTTTGAATTGATGGTTAACCTATATAATATCAAAATGGCTAAAGTCGTTCAGTTTTGGTCGTACAAAATGATCTGATCAGTATATAGGGTAAATTATGGCTTCGGCACCCATTGACTGTTTTCGGCAACCGAAATTGAAACGTTTATTTCACTGTATTTTCCCATAAAAACTCTTCGCTGAATGTATTAAGCCGATTCCTTACCTTTTCAGCTTCAATCTGATTACATTTTTACGACTGTGAATTCCTGTTATACCATATTTTTCTTTAAATGAAATATACATACTACAAAATACGGCTGATTTCGAGTTGCCGATAATAGAACAGCTGGTTAACACGCAATTCAAATGGAAAGGGTGCCGAAGAAAAAGAGACTGCCGACAATAGTCACTCTCACCTGAGAAGTTTGGAGCGTTGTAAAAACATGTTCAACCCGTTTTGATCAATTCTGTCGATTGGAATTGGTAGAACAGCAAGCAGCAGATAAATGTCAACAAACAAACCTGTCATGTATGTGTGTGACGCTGAGAAATCGCTAATAGAAGTTCGGACGCTGCTTAGATTGACGAGAATACGTAAATTCCCCTAGTTCATTAAATACTTATACTTTTGGATTCTTTGTCACCATGGACACTTTCAAATATATATAAGTCGTTGAACAAGAACATTTGGTCCATTTTTTTAAACTTTTTACTAGTACGCTTTTTTGGTGGGGCTCCCTTAGCTCAGTCGGTAAGCGCAGCTACAAAGCAAGACCATGCTGGAGGTGGCTGGGTTCGATTCCCGGTCCGGTCTAGGAATTTTTCGGAATGGAAAATTTCTCGACTTCCCTGGGCATACAAGTATGATTGGACTTGCCACACAATTATACCAATGCAAAAATGGTACAGGCATCGAAAGCTCTCAATTAATAACTGTGGAAGTGCATCTAGAACACTAAGTTGAGAGCACGCAATAGGCTTAGCTTGAAATGCGAAGAAGAAGAAGAAGCTAGTACGCTTTTATTGAGTTCTCCAAGCAGGATCTCACGAACACTACACTAATAACATAATTTTACACACACTAGCGTATACTGTCATGTGCACGGTAAGAATCAAACTTCCATTTATGAGTAAAAGTGAACCCATTGTCAATAAAAGCGGCACCACTAATTAATGATTAATTCATTATGCCAATTAAGTAGTAACTGTTAGCTACAGTTAGCAGAAACTCATTGTTATTAAAATAATTTAGTCATTAATGAGTAAAGCCACCTTTATCAAAAATAGGTTAACCTTTACTCACAAAAGGGTACTTGACTGTTACCGTGCAAGCGTAGGGTTTGTTTTTGTTTTGTTGTTTATTTTTAATTTAGAATGACAGTTCTTACAGCAAACAAAAAATTTCTCACAGCTAACAAAAAAATTCATCTCACTAACACACGCAAATCGCACCAATACGAACCCACCTGGAGAGGACTATATGCTCATAACACACAGTTCTGGAGTCCTTTTTGACTGGGTCGAATCGAAGACAACAAATCAAACAGACTGGCAACTCTTCCATTTTCTCATTCGAACGCTATGAGACAGGTACAATCGCGTCATCTGCTGATGATATGATGTCTTTGGTCGAATGTAACAAATATCGTGTAAACCGAAATTTGGTAAGCTCACAACAAATTTTCCAAGTTTAAGAATTTGGATAATTTTTTGAAGGCTAAGATCCCGGCAGTATTTCGAAGCCTAATATTAAAAAAAAAAACATTTAATGGGTTGCAGAATCATAAAACTTGAGACATTGTTTCAATATTATGGACTTAGAAAAATCTTCAAGGTTGTTTTTTTTTTTTAATTTCGAGTCATTCATAATTTATTTTTCAGAATCCTGGATTTGGAAAAAAAAACAACATGGAGAAATTTTTAAAATTATCAAACTTAGTGAAATCAAAAACAAATCAGAGCTAAAACAAAAAAAGGAGCCTTGGAAAAATTAGCAAGGCTTTAGAAAACCTAGAGCCTGGAACTTTCCCAAGTAACACATAAAACATCTTTTTGAAAAACAATTATAACGGCTTGTTATATAAATGTATTATAAGTGATGTAGAAAACATCCCACGTTATATATGAGGTTTATAGATGTTTTCTTCATACTTCCTAGAGTCAACATTTTCCAAAATAATTTTCTTTTGCTTTTATCTCTAAATGTTATTTAAACGAGCATCTTACTGTTTTAATACCACTATTAAACTTGTCGTTTACAAAATCAATCTTAGTTGAATTTATAAAGTTCTTGAAGAGATTCTGAACTTTCCAGATTGACGTAAACATTGACGGCGCCATTGAGGCGGACTGTCTCTTCACGCAGTGATTGACAGTTTCTTATGAGGTATTCGGTGGTTTATTATAAAGAAAGTTGAAAACACTTGTTTATGACATCTCAGAAATCAATACAACTGAAAATATATGCAGATTGCCTTATAAGGAGTTGAAAATACTTTAAAATAACACTCTGGCAATAAGATGTACGCTTTGCTGCTAACAAAACATCTTTATGACGGATCGAAGGCGTGTTGAACGAGAATTTAATTTTCTTGCCACTGTCAAGAAGATGATAGATACTTATAAAAAACCTCTTATCAAGCAAAGGGTGTCTAGTTAGGAAGTAATACGTCTGCCACGCCTAGGAGCAGTGATCGAATCCCATGCTCAAGTTTTTTTTTATTGTTTTTTTACCGCTGGTTTTTATGATGTTTCCAAAACCAGTATCCCAAGCAACACGGCTTGTCATAAAGAAGCTGAAAATACTTTTTAATGACTTACGTAAAGAATCAATAGTACTGTAACATACTTCATTTAATACATTTATATAACCTAAAAAGCGCAAGACGGGGAGCTTATTCAACTAAATACTTGTCTTATAACATATTTCATCATTCCTAGCATTATTTTAGAATTTTGAGTTTCCTTAGAATTCTCAATTACTTCAAAATTCTGAATTGCATTAGATTTTCTGAATTTTATGTTTATTCTGAAAATAGTTGATAGGGAAGTGGAAGATGAATTCCTTGTAAATTCAAATGAGCATCCCAAGAAATTCTGAGTAGAGTTCCATCGTAACTCACATGATAATTGCATGGAGAGGAGATTGTATGGAGGAAGCGAATAGAATTATGAAGAGAAATTATAGAAAACTCTTAAGATTACGTTTAAGTAACGTTGAATTCAAGGAATCGCTGGGAGCATTTGTAAGAAAATTTTAGAATACCCATTATGTATGCTGAAGAGAATCCATAATGGAATCATTATGATAACTTCAATGGAATTATGTCGAATGTTTCTATGGAATTCCGCGATTAATTATTATGAAATGTTGACGAATATAAAAGGAATTCTGAGATAAGAACCTCAGAGAAGAGTGTACCAAGGAAAGTATGAAGAATATTCCAAGGGAATTTCGTAGAGAATAATGGTGGCAAAATTTAGCGAATCTTGGAAAATATTACCAGTTTGAGGGAATTATGGAATTAAAGAGTGATTTCTAAAAGATTTCTATAGAGAATACATGTGGTCTGCAGAGAATGCAAAGAATGTTATTGAAAAATATGGAGATTATCTAGATTATTGTTAGGGAACGCAGAAAATAAATGTGATGAACTTCTAGGATGATTCAAAGAGACCGCTTGAAAAAATGTGGTAGATATCCTGTGAAGAGTTCATAGGAAATTCAGACAAGCAAACATTTCCATGATCTGGGACACAGGTAAAATA